AGCTAGAAGACTAATAAACTCCAAATAATTTGAATTTCTTTTATTACTTTGTGCATAAAAGTGCACAATAAATCACAGCTTCACAGTTAAAGTCATTCTGCTGATGTCTTCAACTATATCCATGAGTACTTTATTCACCAGAAATATTTCAGGACTTAAAATACTATTTACTTTGTTGCTCATTTAGCTTGTGGGGTTTTGTTGTTTTGTTGTTGTTTGTTGGGGTTTTTTTAACAACTCCTATATAGCAAGGGCACAGAGTTTCTAGTAAATCTACAGGTGTAACAACATAGTGATGTGTACAATCAGATTTCTAAAGTACAGCAGCAGAGCTTGATGCTGAGGAAATGTCTCAATTTACATAATTAAATCCAAAGCATTTAAGGACACACTTAAGCTAAGCACGTGCTTAAATGCTTTTTAAATAAGAATTAAGGTCTTTTAGTCCTTCTGCTTTGAAGTCCAACTTCTGATGCTTGTTGGTGGCATCTACCACATACAAGACTTTAGGCCCTGCCTTTATTTCCAGGCTCACTTAAGATGGAATTTGCAAATGATACATCAGGGAGAGACAAGATGCAGAGTTTTGTTTTACAGAGGGAGCATGAGCTGCCTTTAGATCTCATACCTTGTCAGGGAGCAGTGACAGAGGGGCAGTGAGGCAGCAATTAAGGGGCGGAGAGTGACCACACAGGGACAGGGGCAGTGACCTGAACAACACGGGCACAGTCCCACAGCACCCAGGGAACAGGGCTGGAATGGTGACAGGTGCTGTGAGAGCCCAGTGATCATTAGGGAAATGAGGGGTGACAGGCTGGGTCCAAGGTCAGTCTGGGAAGCCCAGTCAACAAGTCGGGAACAGCGAAGGACAGAGCTGGGAACAGAGGCACTGCCCAGCCTGGGGGAGGACTGGGGGTGCACTCTGGGCCTGGCATTTCTTCATGGATTAACATTAGATTTCACAATTTTTATATTTAAAGAAGCCACTGACAGAAAAATAAATCTCATGCTAGATACAAGAGCAAGCCTCTGGCTCTTGTGCAAACATCCTAGTTGCAGGAATTTATTGCTTTCAGGGAGCCATTTCTATTGACATAGGAGATACATATGTTTACAGTGGATCTTAGTAAGATCCTAAATTACTTAGAGGAAGGATGAGGAGAAATGGTTAATAAACAGAAAAGAGCAATGGCTTAGTGTTCAATCAATAATACTAAATTCTTATTCTCAGATGCTTTTCAATGAAGCTGAAGAAACTGAGGGAGAATGAAGGAACTGTGCCTAGGCCAGTTCAGATCAAGATCAGAGAACCAGATCTTTTGGATTTGTGTTGGATCACAATCTGAACATGAATTATCAATATTGTGCTGGTGCAAAGAAATATCAGTTGTACCAAGTTGTTCAGTTTTCTAACAATTATGTTCCTTTTACCTAATGAGTGGAAAGTCACAGCATGACAAGAAATCAGCAGGTCACCTCACCATTGCCATGACTCAAAGAAGGAACAAATAGATCAACAAAGTGCTCCAGGTTACACCTGCCTCTGGAATCATAATTGTGATGTTAATCAGCTTCCTCATACAGTCAACAACAGAGCCTCAGAAAAACTTATGCTGGCGTAAGACAGTGTGAGAGAAAATGAGAAGCAAGGGGAAGAGGAACAGCAGGGATGATTTATACCAGGTGGCTTATACCAGTACAATGTGCTGAACTATGATGCAATTTGATCTTACTGAATGTCTTCTGTATTGTTGATTTAAAAGCCTGTTTCTGAATGGTCAAAAGTGTTTCAAAATGGAATTCTGTGTCCCCCACCCCCAGCTTAGCATCTCCTGCAAAATTAATAAGTGTGTTCTCTGTTCCATTATTTATATTGTTAACAACAAAAAGACCCAGACTGAAGACAGGCTCTAGAAAACCAGCAATATATCCTTTCCTTTTGACAGAGAATTACTGCATGTTATAAAATACTGCTTGCTATGCATTCAATTTTGTACATACCTTATAATACGTTTATCCAGGTCGTATTTCTCCAACCTTTTAATGAAAATGTCATGTTAAGTGTCATAAACATAATCAAACTGACAACAGGCTCTGTCCTATCCACAAGGCCTGTTCCCTACTGGAGGAGAACATCAAGTTATCTGGTGTGATTTATTTTTGACAGATCCATGTTGGCTGCTATTGTTCCTTGGTTATCATCTAGGTGCTAATAATAGTTTGTGAGGTTACTTGTCCCAGGATTTTTCCATGGATTCAGTTAATTACACGTAAATCAAGCTGTATTTCTCTGGCTCCAACCCCACTTTGATAACAGCAATTTACAGTTACCTCTTCTGTTTTTTTCAGCTTCTCATTCACCTTCTTAATTCAGTCATTCTTCAGCTGTCTTTTGATTATGGTCACTAGACTCAAACCATTTGAAAACATTCAGTTCATCTGAGTGCTCCTTATCTGTTCTTTACGTACTCTGGGCTGAGATAATTTTGTTCTCAGTGTCACCAATCCTAACTATCCGCTTGTACATGATCTTTTTTGTAAGTCTGATACAATAGGTGCAACAATCCCTTTAGCTTTCTTTATAATTTGTCAACAGATTTTCTTCTCTATTGAGTAAAGGAATAATAATTTCTCTATCTCTTTCTTAGTACAAATATACTTAAGGATAGCTCTTGACAGTTCAATGATTTTGCAGCACTACCTTTTTTAGTCTTTCTTTCTTATTCTTAATAATTTGACCTGTCTTCCTTTGTGTTTTCTTCATGTGCTTAAAGGTCAACGGAGACCTCATGATGTGGTCAAGCTAAGCTTGCTTACTGTTATTTCTATCTTACTCACAACTGGGATAAATGTGCCTTTCAAATCATTTTCTAAAGCATCATTCCTTTTCTTAAGTCGTTTCTTTAGACGTCCTTCCTATGAGGTCTTAAGTACTGATTGCTTAAGTCTTTATCTTTCACGACATCTGTTTTTATTTAGCTGTTCTCTTTCCTTCCTCTTCTATGGACAACAAGCTGTCATTTTGCAAATGCTCTTTTTTGTGAGGAAAATGCTACCCCACTTTAACATTCTCATCCAGTTATTCTTCACTGGCAGCCTCCAAAAAAACCCCACAACAACCCCAAACCACCCAACCAAGCTATTATATTCTTGTGGCTAGGCCATATTCTAAAGAAGTCACATCAGAGATACCAACACCTGACAATGTATTGCTGTTCTAATGAAAGGGGTTTCTCACTTCACCAAAGGAAAGCTTAGGAAAGAAGTCTGAGAAACAGACCACAGACAATGCCAAAGGTGAAAGACTGAATGAAATACAGAAGCAAGATATAAAACTGCCTGGGATTGCTTCTAGCAGCAGAATGTCTTCTTGTATGTCAACGAGGGAGTAGAAGGGGACAGATCTGTTCCAGGTTGCACATGGTAGCAGATAATCAGATTGGCAGACCTCTGAGAGAAAATACTCTGTGCTTATCTTTGTGAGCAGTAATCCTGTGTTTTAGAAATAGAGGAAGAAAAGAACTGCCAAATATTGGTGTTAGTGCTGAGTTGCTTGTTTTGAGTATTCAGGCCTCATGGGCAGGTTGGGGCAGGAGGTGTGTGTATATTGCAGGTGTGTGTGTGTCCAGTTAATGGGGGAGGTATTTGCAGGAGGTTTGTGCTGCAGGTTTAGGTGTTTTGATGAATCAGCAGTGACTGAGAAAACAGCATTTTGTAGAACTTTTATCAAGCTCTAATTGTGGATAGGAGCCCTTGAAGACCTTGAAAAAGCCTGATGGGACACCTTATTTCCCAAAAAGAGACTAATTTCTTCCACAGCAGAATGGCATTCACATACTGCCTCCAGCTTTACAGACCAGGTGCTGCTGCTCCTCTGCCTACATGGAAATCCCTTTGAGTCAGCCAGTATCGATACCTGTGTTTTTTTTCAAACTTATTTGTGGAATTAAGCAGGCTCAACAGTTTGACCTGAAACAGAGCTGTCCTAGTGCTGTCCTGCACAGAAGGGCAGCTCTGTTGTAATGGTCAGGATGGAAAGATGTGCTGCATGCAGGTTATGTGAAATAAAATCTGTAGGATGAGACAGCTCTCAGGGGATGTCCATGGCTCCAATTGCCTTACATCCCCTTAACCCACTACTCCAGCTAGATCTCCACGGACCTTTGCCTTTCAGATACATGTTTACAGTACAACTGCTTCACAAACCCACAAACTAGGAACCAAATCTGGCTTTTGCTGCACAGGGCTCGGTCTGGCACACGTGGCAGTAAATCGTGTAGGCACAAAGACCAGTGGGATCTGTGCTCTGAGTACAGCACATGGCACACCTGGCTGCAGATACCCGAATATGGCACCGGGCACACCTGGCTGCAGGTACCCGGGTATGGCACCGGGCACACCTGGCTGCACGTACCCGGGTATGGCACCGGGCACACCTGGCTGCAGGTACCCGAATATGGCACCGGGCACACCTGGCTGCACGTACCTGCCGGCGTCCAGACCGGGACTGGGCTGGAGCCCCCCTCGGGTTTGGAGCTGGAGCCCCCCTCGGATTTGTCCTTTCTTGCACGGGCCACTGCCATTCCTTGGCCGACCTACACTTGAAAAACTCGTTTATCGAGTTAAGGCCGCTGCCGAGCGGGTCCACGGGCGAACGGGACCACGGTGACGGGCGCGCAGAGCTGTGCCCGGTCCTTCCCTTCTTCCCGAGGGGGCGAACCGCGGGCAGCTGCGTGGGCTGACTGCGATAAGGGCGAGGAGGAGGAGGAAGGGGAGCAGCCAGACGAAAGCAGAGGCAACAGGCAGTAGGGAGCCGAGGACGGGGATCGCACAGCCCGCCGAGGGAGCAGCGGCGGAGGGAGGCGGCGGGGAGCGGCGGGAGGCGGGCGCAGCCGGGGCGGAGGGAGGAGCGGGCGGCCGGGCGCAGCCAATTCGGGGGGACACGTCCATTTTTCGGCGTGAGTCAGGCACGTCGGTGGGGTGATGCTGCGGCGCCGGGCAGGGGCCGGGCCAGCCGCGGGGAGCGGCCCGCCCGCTCGGGCCCGGAGTCTCGGCCGTGCCGGCGCTGCCGCCGAGCGCAGCGTTGCTTCCTCCTTCCCGTCCCTTTCCTTCGCCGGGGCCGGCGCCATGGCCGGGGGCGCTGGGCCTGCCGCTCCCTGACACCCGCCCGCCCGCGGAGGTACCGCGGCCGCGCCGCGCCGGGGGATGCGGGGACGGGGGGGACCGGGAGCGGGACCGGGCGGAGGGAAGGAGGGGGCCGGTCACAGCGCTGACCGCGGGTAAGGGCAGCCCTGCACGGTGGGGAGGGGGAGAGCGGCGGGGGTGGGCGGTAGAGCCGGGTGGGAAGAGAAGGGGTCCCGGGGCGGGGGTCTGGAGCTCCGAGGCTCCGGAGCTCACAGGCTCCGTGCAGCTGCGGCCTCTCCCTCCCCGCAGGCTGCTGCGAGCGGGGCTCCTCCGGGCATCGGAAGGGAAAGTGAAGAATTGCCCTTGCCCCGGGCCGAGCTGCCCCGTTCTCCTGGAGCCCGGGAAGGAAGGACTGCGAAGGGAACCTCTGGACGTTTCATGTTTCGTCAGCCCGGCAGAATTTTGGCTTTGATTCCGTCTTGTTCGTACCTGTTCCTGGAGAAGAGGCACCGTCCCGCCATGTCTCGCTACAGCCTCCACAACCTTCTGGACTGGATGTATGGGGGGGTGGACCCCAGCTTTGCCGGCAATGGAGGGCCGGAATGCGCTGCCTTTCTCTCGGGGAAGCAGCGCTTGCTGGAGAGTTTGGTCTTCCTCAGCGTAGGCATCGTGGAGATCCTGCTGTCCTTGGGGAAGCTCAGGCATCTGCACCTCAGGGAGCTGGAGAATCTGCTGCAGCAGCCCCAGACTAAGCAGGAGAGTTTGGGCAAGAACGTGCTGCTGGTGCTGCTCTGCCTCATCTTTGGGCTGGAGGTGGGGTTCAAGTTTGCCACCAGGACTGTCATTTACCTCCTGAATCCCTGCCATGTGGTCACCATGATGCAGGTAAGGCTTGTGTAGGGTCACCTGGAAGTTGTTTGTGGTGTACTTGCAAGGCAGTATTTTTCCCAGTCTGTGGACCAAAAGTGCATAGCAAAAGTACAAATGCTAAGAATTAATATAAACATTTTAAATTCAGTTTTTAGTCAGTTCAAGTGAAATCTCTCAAGTAACCTGAGTCAGATGAAAAGGTGAAATTGTAGCTATGATTAATGTCCGAATTTCTGCTTGAAAATATAAATAATTAAGGTTTTCTCACCACTTGCTTTCACCTGATCCTTGTTTCAAGAATAGAAGAGGCTGTTTCCACTGACAGTAGTGCTCAAATTTGCACCAAACCTAATGAGAATGGGATTATTGCGAAAGCAGCTGTGTAATCTATGTGCAACTTTTTCAAGCAAGTGACTTCTTTGGGTGTGAATGTATTTTGTGAAGGCGTTGGAGAAATAAATTATTCTTTGTTGGTTTACCTTTCTAATCTTAGAAGCTGAGTAGTAAGGAAGCAGGTGTTACCTGTATCTCATACATGGAGTTGAACAAGGTGATATGGCCTAATACCTGTGGATAAACCATGTGTTTTAATGACTTGTGGGGTTGTTGATGTGTAAAAATATGCAACTTGTGTAGATTTCAAAATAATGGATACATAGAAGGATACATAGATAAACAGTTACTGAACTGGGATATCTAAAGCCTAGAAGCTTGTTTGTTAATACTCTTGTAGATGTACTTAACTGTCAGTCCCACTGAGCTTGGTAAGGAGGGTGGGAGACATAAAAAAATTATTACTTTGTTTAATTTTGCTAATGTTGAATCCTCAGCTTAGAAGATTAGAAACAACTTAGAAAATTCAAGCTCAAGAAATAACAGGACAGTGTCAAAAAGGCTTTCATAAAAGCTGGCATGGTTACAACTGTCTAGGATCAGTAAAATTGGATCGGTGCCATTCTTGGTCTCCCACTGCAGGATGCAAAGTGATCTGGGCTGAATCAGATCAAGCCAGTTGTTAGATTCACACCTGGAGAGCATTTCCTAACAGGATGGGAAACATCTTTTCTGGTTGTACCAGAGGTTTGAGGGAGATGAGTGTTATTTCAAGAGTGGTACAGCGATATTCAAGACCTTTACAGCAATTAATTTACAGTTCCGGAACTTAATTAGTAGGTTATGTAAATTCCTAGGCTGTGATGCAATGGTTGCTCAGTAGTTTACAGCATAGGACACTTCCTTCCTGTGAAGGGGTAGTGATTGCTGTGCAATCAGTTAGTCAGTGTTGGGACTGAAGTTATGGAATGACTATGTAGAAATAATTAAAATGAAATAATGCAGCCACATTCCATTTGTAGTGGAAATTATCCATACTTAGTGATAACTAGGAAATTTTCCTAGTAATTCTCCAGAAAGGAAGTGAGGATATGTTAGCAGTAGGATTTGAAAGTTTGGTTGTCTTTATGGTAGGGTGTTATGACGTTCAGCAAAATGCTTACACAGCCCTGGGGGAGCAAGGACTGTTCACTTCTTTCAGTAATGCCTCCCCCAAGGAGATGGAGACTTGAGCCCTGTAGTCAGGCATGGGCTGTTCTGAATCTCTTTTTGACCAATTGTGAAGCTTTAAAAAATAATCCTGTGCTAATTACTCATTAGAAATGGTGTTCCAGCATTTGTGAAATTGAGAAGGTGGGTATGTCAGCAAAATGCAGAAGTTGGGCCCTTCATTTAGAAACAGGCTTGGGCTTAATGTAGAGGATGAAAATAATGGCAAAACCAACAGCTTTCCACAGAGACACCAGGTTAGACACAGGGATAGTCAATGACTTCAGCAGCAGACAAGTAATAGATAGGTGTAATCTTGCAAACATTGATTTTTGGCCTAAATATCTGGAGGGCAACAGGTTGGCAAGGTGAAATATATGAAAATATAATTTATCCTTCACTTCTGTTCTTGCAGTAGTTTATACATAACCCTTCTGCCGTGTCTGAATAATAGGATGAACAAAGTAGGAGGTGAAGAGATGAAAGGTACTAAAACAATCAGGATCACTTCAAAGAGAAGCCAACAGTAGCTGTTGTTAAAGGGCTGTTCTTTCACTCCATTTCTCTTTTCATTTTCTTCAGTTGAGACTTGTTTCACCTCAGCAACAAAGGCTCTGGGCTCTGAGCCAAAAATATTTGGAACTAGAAGTTATCCTTCAGATTTTCTCTGCATAAAAGCTAAAGTTCTGCTCTTAAAAGAAATAAGACTGAAATGAGATAAAAATAAAATGAGATTTAGATGTGTGGTGCATTTGGGAAGACAAAACTGAGTAATATTAGGGCTACTGGGTTCTACAAATGAGTCTGTTTTGATCAGGTGTCTAATTTCTGCCTATCATGCCAACTTCTGTTCAAATCAAGTCTTTTCATAAGTGGAAAGAAGTAGCTTAGATGTGTCATTGTAAGGAGGAAGTGTCAATGAAATGAACATATTTAACTGCCTGAACAGTTGTCATGGTTAATCAGCTTTAGAGAATGTTGCTGTCCTGTCGCCTGGTTGAATTATCTACAAACAGTGATAATCATTTCCAGCCCTGCCCTGGGTTTTGGCTTCTTGCATAGCTTCTGGAGGAAGAAGGGTGTTTCTTCACCAGTGTCATAAGTGCAGCATCATCGAGAGATAAATACTTCAACTCTTAAAAATACTATATGTATTTTAAAACAAAGGTGAATGGAAAGTTATTTGGTTTCTCTGCCAGTTTTTGGGTGGGGATGGGCTTGGTTTGTGCAGTACAATGCTTAGCTAATGTTGGGTGCAGCAAGGGGAGATGTCTATGAAGGAATTCACACTGAACTCTTTCTTTATGTAAAGAATGGTCTTTGAAAATTATTTGAATACCTCTGTTTAAAAAAAAACAACCCACAAACCACTTGCCTTTTAAGACTGGGGATATAACCGGAGCAAGTGCTGCTGCTGTAAACCTGACTTAAAAGGGTATCCTAAGAGGGAAACATTAAATCCTTAGGGTGTTGCAAACCTATTGGCCTTTGCACAGCTGGAAAAAAATCAGCATATGTTTAAGGAACCAGGTTTATGTTTTGAAGACACTAATCCTTTCCAGTATTATAGGGCACAGAATTGTGGTACTGAAATCGTCTGTGTGAATGAGGTCTTAAATTTCTGATTCAGCAGTGGAAGAGGGAGGATTCCCTCAATAGCCAATCACAGCACTATTGATTTCTTTGCAAGTTTTGTGAAGGAGACTTTTGGCAGCAGCCAGAATGTGCTTGTTGAGAAGTGTCTACATAAGTGTTGTCTCCCTATGTATGAGCATCAGAACACCTACAGAATTGCTTTAGTGAGGTGAAAGGATTTCATGCCTTGCAGTGTCAAAACCAATGATATCAAACCAATTTTCTTTATCTGTTCTGTATTCTTTAAGCTATATTTTTTTCTAACTTTTCAATCACAACCTTTGTTTGTGTTCCTGTAGCAGTTCTTCATTTCACATTTAGGGAAGGAGCAGTTAGAATTTCCATCAAAAACTTGTTCTCCATTATTTGTTTCTGTACCACCAGTTTGTAATTTCTGACACACGTATTTTGGGAGGTGTTATTCACAATCAAGGTAACTTAATGAAAATGTGTAAGCACAGGTGTCTCTTGATGTCCTGTAAGACACCTAGCTGGAGTTAACAGGCAATTAAGTTTAGACAAATATAAACCAGGAGCCAGAGCTAAAATTAGTCTGTATTGCAAAAGAGAATTCTAAGAAAAAAAAAGTAAGGGAAAAGCCATCTATAGCAGAGGTGTGTTAGGGTGATCTCAAAAGCTCCTTTCCAACCTTAATGATTATGTGATAATTTGAATTTTAGGTTTGTGAAGCTGATAGTTTTAATCAGGTTTCCTAGACTGTTGCTAAGATCTTCAGTTCTGAACACTGAAGTCTGTAGAAATCAGAAGTGTGTGTGCAAATTTATTGGAACCTTGTTTAAGGAAGTGCCAGAAACAGGTACTCTGTACTCTAATCCTAAAATGATAAGTACAGCTAGTCCTTCTCTTAAACTGTTGTAAATTTGCAACTTGACCTTTGTATGCCTATGCCTTCTTCCAGAATGGTGCCTTTATGCCAATCTGTAAAATAAGTTTTGTAATTTAATTTTATTTATTTTGTTTTAGGAAGGGTTTTGCAAGAGTGATTTCTCAGTGGTAAATCCTCAGCTGGTCAGTTGTTGTAATTCTCTTCCAGTTCTGCTCTGAATTACTGCAATTCAGGTAGTTAAGGACTAACATTTGTGTGGAATAGAGAAAATGTGTTTGTAGGAAACACCTGTTTTGCTGGATTATAACTTCAAGGGATCTTTTTAGACAAAGTAAACTAAGGGGGAAGTGATAGGTGGAAAGAAGTATGGGGGGTCCGGTTTCATTCAGGGATCTTGATCTGATGTTTGCATAACTAAAACCAGTACTAAGTGCATCTGCAGTTAAGTAAATACTAAATCCTTTGTTCATTGTTTCCAGCTCTGGCTTCTTTAGAGACCTGGATCATTTCTGTCCTCTGCAAAAGGGATTGCTGTGTTTTTGGAAACAATGGGCTGTTTTCAGAACATATATAATAAACATAGCTTGACTGAATTCTGCACCACTTGGGAATATATTCCAAAATATAACTAATTAATGACTTCCCTCTTCCTTTTTTTTTCTTTTAATTTGTGTACACAGTTCTTAAATGCTTTGTAATATTTGGAAGAATTCAGTTAAATTGTGTACGGTTTTCTATATTCTGTCTCTTCAAAACCTTGAATTAAAAGTAAAGGGTCATTCACATCCTGTTATTTCAGTGTGACTATGAGGAAGCTTTGATTACAAAAATTCAGTAAATTTTTATAGAAATTATGCTGAATAATGCTATTGAGGTACATGAGCAACAGCCTGCAAGTAAGAGCTTAATGAGTTACTCAGTTTTTAAAGGATAATGGTATTCTAAGTTGAAGAGGTTTTTCAATAGCTCTGGTTTTAGCTTGTATTTAGGT